GGATGGACGTCCATTCCACCCACTCTCTACACCAGGAGTACCGGTTTGGTTCCAGCGTGTTCAACTCCAAACTGCTGACACATGCAGAGTGCTGCTCCTGGACGGGTTTGACGTCCAACGGGTTTGACGTCCAACGGGTTGGGTCCAGCGTGTTCAACTCCCAACGGGTTAATGGGCTCATCCAACGGGTTCGGGTCCAATGGGTTAATGGGCTTCTTGGACGGGTTTGACGTCCAACGGGTTGGGTCCAATGGGTTAATGCGCTCCTTGGATGGGTTCGACGTCCAACGGGTTTGGGTCCAGCGTGTTCGACTTCCTCATCCAACGGGTTTGACGTCCAACGGGTTTGGGTCCAGCGTGTTCGACTTCCTCATCCAACGGTTTTTTTTTTCCAACGGGTTTGACGTCCAACGGGTTTAACGTGCAACGGGTTTGGGTCCAGCGTGTTCAACTCCCAACGGGTTAATGCGCTCCTGGGACGGGTTTGACGTCCAACGGGTTTGACGTTCAACGGGTTTGTGTCCAGCGTGTTCGACTTCCAACGGGTTAATGCGCTCCTTGGACGGGTTCGACATCCAACGCGTTTGGGTCCAGCGTGTTCGACTTCCGACGGGTTAATGCGCTCCTGGGACGGGTTTGACGTCCAACGGGTTTGACGTTCAACGGGTTTGTGTCCAGCGTGTTCGACTTCCAACGGGTTAATGCGCTCCTTGGACGGGTTCGACGTCCAACGGGTTTGACGTTCAACGGGTTTGTGTCCAGCGTGTTCGACTTCCAACGGGTTAATGCGCTCCTTGGACGGGTTCGACATCCAACGGGTTTGGGTCCAGCGTGTTCAACTCCCAACGGGTTAATGCGCTCCTGGGACGGGTTCGACGTCCAACCTGTTAATGCGCTCCTGGGACGGGTTTGACGTCCAACGGGTTGGGTCCAGCGTGTTCGACTTCCTCATCCAACCGGTTCGACGTCCAACGGGTTGATGGGTTCATCCAACGGGTTCGGGTCCAACGGGTTAATGCGCTCCTGGGACGGGTTTGACGTCCAACGGGTTTGGGTCCAGCGTGTTCAACTCCCAACGGGTTAATGCGCTCCTGGACGGGTTTGACGTCCAACGGGTTGGGTCCAGCGTGTTCGACTTCCTCATCCAACCGGTTCGACGTCCAACGGGTTGATGGGTTCATCCAACGGGTTCGGGTCCAACGGGTTAATGCGCTCCTGGGACGGGTTTGACGTCCAACGGGTTTGGGTCCAGCGTGTTCGACTTCCTCATCCAACGGGTTCGACGTCCAACGGGTTAATGCGCTCATCCAACGGCTTCGACGTCCAACGGGTTTGGGTCCAACGGGTTTGACTTCCAATGGGTTACGCTGACCTTGACCTCCCTGAACACCCCTCACTCTAACCCTGACTCTGACCACCTCATCCTCCACCCCAGCCTCTACCCTCACTCTTTGTAACCCTAACCCTGGCCCCATTATTGTATGGGATAATGCTCTTTAAAACTCCAATATTTTTGAACCCCCCCCTCTACCTTCTGATATAATCGTCCAGCGTGCTCGACTTCCAACGGGTTGATGGGTTCATCCAACGGGTTCGGGTCCAATGGGTGAATGGGCTCCTTGGACGGGTTTGACGTCCAACGGGTTTGGGTCCAGCGTGTTCGACTAATGTTTGTTTTTCTGTGATTAAAATCACTCCAGAATGAAGCCTTTCCGTTTTTTTATATATTTTGCTATTTTTATTTACTTTGTTGATCTTGCACCGCTTTGCGCCGCTCCGTTGCCTGGGGTGAAAATATATATATTTAGTTGGGTCTGGTTGGGTTGATGGCTTACCCCATCAAACATCGCACCTCAACTCATTGACTTTGACACTAAAATTTAACCCTTTCCCGGCGGAATTATCGCTTTTGATTTGGATATGTTGTATTTCATATCCACTACGGCCTACATGCAAAGTTTGAAGTCAATTGACTCCGTGGTTGATTGGACGTTCAACGTCTGAAACCAAATGGAATGTACGTCCAATCTGCCCTGCTCTGATTGGTCGGTTTTCTAACCCTGAATGGAATGGACGTCCATTCCACCCCCACCTGTTGGATAGGGTCCAATGCGTTCAACTTCCAATGCGTTACCCTGACCTTGACCTCCCTGAACACCCCTCACTCTAACCCTGACTCTGACCACCTCATCCTTCCCCCCCCCCAGCCTCTACTCTCACTCT